GACTTGTAGTGATCTGCCTGTTTACAGCCTCCAAGAGCTGGGATTACAGGCGCGTGCCACCATGCCCAGTCTTAATTGCTGTCTCAGTGCACCCCGGGGGTGGGGCCAGGACGACAGGCCTGGGGATTGCACTCCTGGCCCCTGAACCTGCTTGCAGGCACATTAATCTGCTGAGCTATTTGACTGGCCCTAATAGTGTCTTCAGAGTGTGAAGAAAGACTCTTATCCCAGCCAGTGGAGATGCAGGTGGTCTCCTGAAGTAATGGCATCCCAAATGAAATGTAAATGCAATAGTGGAGACTGAAAATGTTTCCAGGTCCAAGGAGATAGCTTAGTAGGATAAGCACTTGCCTGGCAAGCGCAGGGTCCTGAGTTCAATCCTCAGTACCGCAAAAAAGTAAAAAAATAAGAATAAGAATAAAATGTTCCCAAAGGGTAGCTGGGTATGGTGGCATAAGCCTATAATACCAGCACTTGGGAGGCTGAGGCAGGAGAATCTCAGCAAGTTCAAGGACAGCCTGAACTACATAGCAAGGCTGTCTCAAATAAAACTCTTCAAAAGAAATAAGCCCTGAACATGTCCCCCAAAAGTCCATGTATTACAGCGTTGGTCCCAGCCCATGATGCTGCTCTGAGGTGGCAGTACTGTTTTGCTTTTGTAGTAGTGGTATTGGGGGTTGAGGCCGGGTCCCTGCGCATGGTACACAAGTAGTCTACCACTGAGCTACATGCTCAGGCCAAAGATGGCGGAACCTTTAAGAGGCAGGACATCCCCTCCTCCCTCAGCTTCTCTGATGGGAAAGGTCACTCTACTGCATGCTCCTCCCCAAGATACAAGGCTTCACACAGGCCCAGAGCAGCAGGGCCAACTCACCCTGAAGTGGGCCCTCCAAGACCATGAGTCAAAACAGCCCTTCCCTCTTTAGAAGCTCAGGAGAAGTGGCACCACACCCAGCCTGCCTTGTCCCACACGTTTTTATGTGTTTTCTTTTTCTTTCCTTTCTTTCTTTCTTTCTTTCTTTCTTTCTTTCTTTCTTTCTTTCTTTCTT